CGGCTTCAGGCTTCTGCGGGAGCCTTCTTGATCATCAGGCGCACGGCACTGCAAAATTTCCTGGACGTCCGGGCTGGGCTTATGCTTTCAGGCTGCCCTGTCTGGTACACCTAGGTCGCCTTGAGGGGCTTCCTGGTCACCAGGATATCCCCTCTTGCTGAGGCATCGAGCGGGATGTATAGGTGGCATTTGCGAGAACCTTCTTGTGAAATGCTGCCTCAGGCAGTCCTCCCCTTTTCTGAAATCCACATGGTGGTAAGTGTGCACGCTGAAAACTTTGCGCACTTTCTAAAATCCACATAGTGGTAAGTGGGTACGCTGAGCACTTTGCGCACTTTCTAAAATCCACATAGTGGTAAGTGGGTACGCTGAGCACTTTGCGCACTCCTCTTTCAAAGTGCCACGAGGGCCCCTTACAAAGGTATTTTTAAATCCATTTTATGGTAAGTGTGCACGTGAAGTCTTTGTACACTTTCTAAAATCCACACTGTGGTAAGTTCGCACGCTAGTACTGTTGTTGGTGTTTTTCAATGTATGCTTCAAGACACGGGTCACGACGAGGTGTTCCCCATAGCGACCCCTAGAAGACGCAGTGTCTCGTTCCCTACTCAGGGAACCATGGTAACATACGTAACCTGAGACGTTATTTGTTGTGTATTTATACAGGATGATAAGTGTAAGACTTCGGCCATCAGTCATTTTGCAGTAGTGTCCATGTATCTAATATAACAGGATCAGCTTAGCAGGTGTTCCCTTTCTGTTTGACATCGCTGTGACAACCAGGTTTTGTGCGGTAGACCAGGTATATCCTTGCGTCTTCTAAATAGGTATATGCTCTGGCATTCATTTGCATTTTCAATACAATATTTATCTTCATAACATGTAATGTTGTGTATGTCAAGTGCCTTTACATCTTTTTTGTCTACCTGCATGAGGACTGTCGTATGTTTGGGAATGTAACTCCATCCGTCCAGCCAGTCTAGCTGAAAACACAGTGACATAACAAACAATTACTGATACTGAGACTAGTGTGTGCACACATCCACACATAAAACACACTATCAGATTGCAGTGAAACAAAAAGTTTCTATTAAGACACACAACAGCCAAGAAGGGCCACTTGCCTACATTTGTGCATAAAATATTTACCACAAAATGTGTAAACATTGCAATAAAAACTTTACAAGGCATTAAAATGTATGAAACTTATTTGCTTTTGTTCCATCTAATTGTCTTTATGCATATTTCCTCTTTAAAGATTTCTATTTTTTCCCCCTCCTTTTCTTTAAAAAAGTGTGTTCGGTTATGCCCTCTGTCTGACCCTGAAACCTCAGATGAATATGCTGAGCGCAACTCTTCTCCCACTGCCACCTGTCTCCCTCATTGCTGTCTTTCTGTGTCTCTCACTCTCACATTAACACATGGGCTATCTCTCTTTTCAAAATCCCTTAATTAGGCATGCAGCTCCCCCTGCATACATGTGCATTCATATGCATAATCACCCACAGTCTCACTCATGATTTGGCCTTCTTGTTCACTCTGGGTATTCCCAGGTTCTCACGTAGTACTTATCTCAGTCCTCTGTCTGGATTTGTCTTCTCTCTCATCATTCTCTCTCCTTTGCTTTTCAACCCCTTCCCTCAGGCACCCACCAGAAGGTTCATCATACCATATCGTCTGTCAATAAATGTGTGGCACTGACACCTGAATCCTCAAGAGGGCCCAGAGCCGGGTAATGCACCCAGACACCCCTCTGAAGGCCCACACACTTCTATAGCTAATCTCTTACTTGAGACATATTAATACAAATAAACTATTGCCAAGAAACACTGTTTTGTATCTTTTCCAAATGGCTTTTGCAGATGACAGAATGGCTTGTAAACTGAGAGCCAGCCAGTTGAGTTAATGCAATCTACGTCACTGTTATAAATACAGACAGGCCTGGATTAAGAATTCAGAGACCCCTGGGCACAATGTCTTTTTGCAGCAGCAATCTTTGCAATAAGTGTAATACATAGTAATTACGCTATCTATATATTATGTTGGCAGATACAGTATTTTGTACATTAACAGGATGCAATAATAGACTGTAAATGATTATATATAACTCAGCAAAAGGCAGATTCGAACCTGGGTTGATCACATCAAAAGCCAGTTCTTACAGTCTTACTCTCTACTGCCTACATCACTGAAGATTTTGAAATTAATGCATCTTTTTTTAATATTGAGTGTCCCAACCAGACATTGTTGGGCTGAGCTAGTGTAACTAGCATTTGTCAACAAGGGCGCTATTTGCACTTAGTGTAAAGACACTCTTTTTTCTTCCCCTTGCTTGGGCCCGTGCCCATAATGCCCATTGGATAATCAGGTGTCCTGACATTTTATCCTACCCGTCAAATTGTCCTACCAGGGTTTACTGCGGATGCGCACATCAATATTTGTTTTGTAATAAATGTTTTTTTCTCACGCTGAACAATATTTAATGTATCTGCATTACTGTAAGGGTAGGTTTAGGGTTGGGGTAGGTGTAGACTTTAATAAAACACGATCTAATTATTATTTATTGTTGGTTTCCTGTATAGCTGTATCCCTTCTAGCCACAACCGCGAATATAACACATACGTTGTCGAATTGTACTACCCACTGTTTCAATGGGAGGTAGCAAAATCTGACAGGGTAGCACTAATCGACAACACCGGTGCGGCCCTGACACATCAACTAAATTTTAAGCCTATTCAACACACTCAAGGACACAAAGAGTCAGGTGGGACAATAGATTAAACAGATACTGCTTCTGTCTTCTTGACAGCCAAAAGGTCATATGATTAATGTTTTATATCAACAATAGCCTTTGGCTAGAGCTTTGAAGTGGATCGGCCTTTATGTTTTAACTTTCAGAGAAGCGACTCTTCTCTTTGAGAGAAGTGAATATTGCTCAGCTGAATTGCCAACATAGAAATTAAATTAAGGATGTGTCTCTGTAACATGGCGCGCTTATTTCATAGTCTCAGTGTATCCTAAGAATAAATGTTAATGAACCTATTGCACTTATTTCACAATCTTCTGTTTATCTTACGTTTTAGGTTTTCTTTACTTTGACCAGTAAACGTTTAGGTTACTTTACTTTTTTTGTTTTTATCTTTGCGGGGATTCTTGAACTAAGCTCAACGATTTGTGCTATCGATTAGCTACGCCTAAATCGATAACGCGTTTTCTGTTTGCTATTTCTTACCATCGGCTTTGGCAAGCAGTGTTCCCAGGTGAAAAAGACGTAGTATTAAATGTATTAAAAATATACTTGAAATTCAAGTAGTATGTTTATAATACATTTGTATTCCCAACATGCTTATTTGAAGTGCAATAAAAATATATTGAATTGCATTTTAATATATTTCTAAAAAGTATACTAGAAGTACTTTTGTATTAAATATATGCTTAGTTATACTTCTAAGAAATATGCTACTTGACAACCTTGTCGCCTTTATTTTCTAATATATATATCTCATTACAGATAAGAACAAAGATTAAGTTGTAAGAAGGGTTGCTTATATGAGCACATACAGTACATCTGAAACTGCTGAGGCTGGGAAGGTTTTTGACTATATTACCGACCAGGTACATTGTTCTCAGCGTACGATCATTCTTAAAAAGAAAACAAATTATCAATCATCATTTGCTTTTGTGTGTGTGTGTGAAATATTAACATTTGTTGTTTTTCAGATCAGCTGCTATAGAAGACAGACTGAAATCTACCATCTACATCTTGGCTCTCTCTCGATTCCGCCGTATGTTGTCAGCACTGGGATGCTCTGGGTCTGTGCCATGTGCCAAACACCATCTAAGCTGCCAGGGCATCATCGTCATCCTCCCATCACCATCCCTTCGCCACATCCTGCCATCATCCCCGCACTTTTGCCTCTCACCATCCCTACGCCATCTCCTTGTCCACCTCCAAAACCCCCTCCATCCCTCCCTATTCTGTTGCTTGAACTTTATCATCTTCAGTCTTTGCACAACAAAGGGCATAAGTGAATAGCTTTTGTGTGTGCAGTCTTTTTTATGTATTTTTTTTCTTCAGAAAATTGCATTGTAATTTTTATTTATTCACTGATGTAAAATTCTGTACTTTTTTAGTAAGGCTAAACTGAAATGTTCTACAAATGGAAAAGATAGCTCTGCCATAGCTTTTCAGTCTTTTTTTATTTATGTTTTTTTATAATGTATTAAAATGTACTTGAGTATGTTTGTAGTAATACAAATATACTATAAACATACTTGTATTTCAAGTGCATTTTTAATACATTTAATAGTATGTTTGTTTTGTTTTTCACCAAAGTATGTATGCTGCTGTCCTTTTTTAGTGTACTTTATGAATATTTGTAATGTACACAACAATATATAATACATTAAAGTTTTCTAGATATCAAAGTGTGTACATGTGTGTATATACTGAAAAATGCAGCTTTATAATATACTAGTAGTGTAATGCTAATGCATTTCCAATGAGCTGAAATACAATTGAAATGTACTTGAAGTACATTAAAACGATGCTTCAAATATACTCTAACTGTAGTTCATGAAGTATTAAAAGGACATTTTAAATGTATTTTAAGAAATACACTTAAATTGCACTAAATATACTTAAAGTGGTTCCAATTTAACACAATTTCAATATATTAAATATATTACAAATAGATTAAAATCCAACTTAAATATATCTTGAAATACACTTAATATACTTAAAGTTGTTTCAAAATAATACATTTAATATGCACTTAGTATAGTATAATTTAAATATAGTAAGTATGTCTGAAAAAGCACAATTTAAATATATTTTTCACCTGGGTGTTGCCAACTGCTTTCAATTGAAAGTGGCTAAAACTGGTAGCTAAATGTCACTAGATGACATCACAATGGCAAACTCACTGATCTATATAAAGATGAACGTAGATCAGTGGGCAAGATGAGAACTGATTCCAAATTTGTAAACAGAGGTCACTATGGAAATATTTGCCGTTTTCTTTATTTGTATGTTCAGCCTCGTCTTGGCAAACCAAGAGGAGCGACTACCAAATAAATGCGAGGGTAAGAAACAGAAAGTATCATCCTTTCGTTTGCCCCATAGGTGTTGAATGTGAATCTTTTTTAAAAACTATTCTATAATGTAATTTATTTAAAGTATCCCCTAGTGCAAAGTTTGCCTCTGTAACGAAACATCAGTCGGATTCTAAAGTTTTATTTTTATTTTTTTATATTAGTTTGTAAATTACTGACGGTGGAGTTGCAGGACGCCCTGGAAAAAAACTGGCCGCTCAAAGGAAGCTCTGGAGCTCTGAGAAGTTTTGGACACTGGCAAGCGCAGGCGCAAAATCAAATACAACACTTCGTAAGTAGTGATGACATACTGACTTGTCAGTTCTGTCCCTATGACAAAGCTTTCCCTTAAGGTTAGAAAAAAATCCAAATCTGCTGACGCTCTCCCTCCTCTTGCTATAATTACGTTTTATTTGTTACCAGAGAGACGCGACTCACTGAGGCCATGGACAACATCTGTGAAAGAATTCTGCAGTATACAATCCATGCCGAGAGACCAGGGAGCCTTCGCTATGCCAAGGTATTGAGCTCACCTTGGCACTCTTTCCTAGCCCTCAACTGCATGAAATTCAGTCAAAGAAATACTTTAAATGTGTGGATTTTGTTTGCAAAATGATGATTGATTTTAGACTGCTGTTTTTGCCAGGGCACAAGTCAAACCATGAACACACTGAAGAACCTGATGGATAAGGGAGTGAAGGTAGAGCTGGGTATCCCTTATGAACTGTGGGATGAACCATCAGTAGAGGTTGCAGACTTGAAGAGACAGGTAATACTCATGCCCTAACAAAGAAAGAGCTGTGGATGGTGTGGTTGCATGTTTTTGTCTTCTTAAATTATATGTAGTTATTGTTTGAGATTAATAATAATATTGTATAGTGTTTATTGAACTGGACTGTCAGTTTGTAGGTATGAATGTTAAAAAAAATCAATATACTGTCTTCTAAATAAAAAAAAAATATTGAAATATATCTTATCCCTTTTTATGTTTATATTAAAGTGTGAGAGCATGCTGGAAGAGTATGAAGAGGTTGTGGAAAACTGGTACTTTCATCATCAAGACGAGAGATTTGACAGATTCTTCTGTGCAGCCCATGTCCTCAGAGACTCAGACCAAGGTAGAAATACACTCTGTGTCTCTTAGCATTCACGAACATACAGACTCGTAATCTAATCCTTCCTTTACAAATAAGCCACTATTTCCAAGCCTTATTTGATCTCTTTCAGAGTGCCTGAATGAGGTATGGAAAGGTGACATGGGTGTAAAGGGATCCAAAGAGGAGAGTGAGGGAGAGAATGGAAGACAGAACCATGACGCAGGAGAACTGTGAAAGCAGAGCCATAATGGTTGATGAATGCATACGACCTGTATGACATCTTTGCACAAGACTACAGGAACCAAGGAAACATTGAAGTATTTTTCTCCAAATACATGAACATGGCTTTGCGTTAAACACGAACTGTCAGTGTTAAAATTTTTCCAAATCTGTTACTTTTGCCAGATCATGGGATGTGAATAGTCCTTGGTATTTTACCTCTGTCCATGCTGACATCTTGAATTTATCTTTTATACAGTGTTACCAATAATGAAGAAAGACACTGAAATGTGCCTTTTATTGTGTATTATCTTATAGGGATGTGTTAGAGCAACTACAAACACTAACAGTTTTTTTTTTTACTGATGAATTAGATAGGGAATTGTATACGTATTTATTATTGAACATCCATGCACAAACCAAAAGGTTGGTTTTAGGATTTTTTACTGTGGGGTACTTTAAAGATATTTTCTCCTGATGTAACATGTACAGTAATCGTTTTTAAATAACGGATTCTTGCTATAAATCATAAGTGTCTTAATGTATGTGTGTGTGTGTGTGGCCAAAGTGCCTGTAGGAGCTCTTTTGGTCTGGCTCCTCATTTGCTAATCTTTTCAAGCAGTCAAACGATCCTGTCCAATTAACTATTTAAGGTCAGTTAACGAGCCTATACAGCATAAATGTAAGGCTCCAGTAGCGCAATCGGTTAGCACGCAATACTTATAAGGCAGTACAAAACAAAGCAATGCCGAAGTAGTGAGTTCGCTTCTCACCTGGAGTAGTTTTAACATGACCTGGACCACAAAACCAGTCATAAGGGTCTATTTGTCGAAATTGAGATTTATACACCATCTGAAAGCTGAATAAAGCTTTCCATTGATGTATGGTTTGTTAGGATAGGACAATATTTGGCCGAGATACAACTATTTCATTATCTGGAACCTGAGGGTGCAAAAAATCAAAATATTGAGAAAATCGCCTTTAAAGTTGTCCAAATGAAGTTCTTAGCAATGCATATTACTAATCAAAAATTAAGTTTTAATATATTTACAGTAGTAAATTTACAAAATATCTTCATGGAACATGATCTTTACTTAAAATGATTTTTGGCATAAAAGAAAAATCAATAATTTTGACCCATACAATGTATTTTTGGCTGTTGCTACAAATATACCCCAGTGACTTAAGACTGGTTTTGTGGTCCAGGGTCACATATGTCCTCTAGCCCAGTGTTTCCCAACCTTTTTTCAGTCGCGGCACCCTTTGGAAATTTTAACAAACTTGTGGCACCCTACCAAATTAATGTTGTCACAATATTTGAATTTCTATCTTCGATATGATAATTTGAAAAGTATAGATATTCGGTACAACAGGGAAGAACTGCAGAATATAATGTCATACAGATAT